GTTTGGGCGTGAAATCACTGTCTACAATGAATTTTTAATTTTGATAAAGTGGCCCATTTTCTAAAATATACCTTGCTGTGTAACTTGAATACAAATATCACGATTAAAGGTCACATAGAAATGATCGTACACGATTCAAAAAGAAAGGATCACTTAATAGATCTTGTCTTTTTTAAAAAAAAAAGGAAGTCCTCCATAGGAATATTTTTATTTACCTCAGAAATATAAAACCCAAGTAGAATAAGCTGGAAGAAAATGAGAGCACTTGGCTCTCTGAAACTACAAGAATAAGGAGAGCATGGGCTTTCAAACCCTTCTATAAAGGTCAGTGAGTAATTGATTTTTTTCAGATACAGCTTAATTTAACAAAATATTTCTTGAAACTTCTTTTGCAACGTGATTCACCAATATATATATATATATATATATATATATATATTTTCATGACTGAGAAATATGGAAGCAAGTACCCATTGAGGCAAATACTGCATCATACAATTATCAGGATGTCCTTAGACAGGTAAAAGCACAAACCTATTTCACTCACTTAATTGGTTCACTTTGGTAGGAATACACAATGAGAACTCGCTGCTAAATAAAATTAGGTGTGATTTTTAATTTTTTTCATTTATTAATTTTAGAAAGAGAGAACAAGAGAGAGAGAAACATCAACTTGTTGCTCCACTTATCTATGCTTCATTGGTTGACCCTTGTCTGTACTCTGATGGGGGACTGGACTGCAATGCTGGCATTCCAGGATGACGCTCTAACCAACTAAGCTACATAACCAGGGTAAAATTAGGTGTGATCTTTAAAGAAAGAACAAATATGTTTTAAGAAATATGCCCCGGACTTATTTTAAACCTAATGTAAACTCAGATTTTCTAATAACTAGGCTATTTCAATCACCTGCAGGTCAGAGTGATAAGACTTACATAACCAACCAATTAATACAGATGCTCTTTCACAACAGGCATTCATACTAAAATAAACCCTTCTGATCCAAGCTCTAAAAATTTCCATAGGCCTCTAAAGTGATTTCTACCCACATACGAATTCCACTGTTAATACAATTTGCATTTAACTTAATATATGCAAAGTATATATGTCAGAATAAGTCTTTCATAAAGTTTATAGACATTCAATAATATATTGAAAATGGTCAGAATAACTAAAATATTTGGAACTTCAACAGAAAAAAACAAAACAGCATTATAATAAGAATCATGTTATCAATTACAAAAATACATAATAGCCAAAGAAACACCACAAAAAGTAGTTCCAGTAAGATCTGACCATATGTTAGCCCCACATTTCTGTATCGAAGTCATTACATACTAAATCGAAACACCTGAATACACAGCCCATGTTACCTTCTTAAAAATCTTTTACTAATAAAACAGTCATAACAAAGTACAGGGTTTTAAAAAAATTTTTATCATTAAGCTGAAAATAAGTAAATAAATACACAAAACAAATTTCCTTTAACATTCAGCAATAATTTTGTGTATGTGAATATGAGAAATATTAAGTCTAAAAAAAGATGACTGAGCCCTGGCTGGTGTGGCTCAGTGGACTGAGTGCCAGCTCGCAAACCAAAAGGTTGCCAGTTTGATTCCCAGTCAGGGCACATGCCTGGATTGCAGGCCAGGTCCCCAGTAGGGGGCGAGTGAGAGGCAACCACACATTGATGTTTCTCTCCCTCTTTCTCCCTCCCTCCCCCTTGCTAACAAGAAAATAAATACAATCTTTTAAAAAATAACATAAGATAATTGAGTGCTGATTGGGCTGGTTCAGTGGATTGAGTGCTAGCCAGCAAACCAGCAGTTGGATTCCCACACAGGGCACACGCCTTGGTTGCCGGCCACATCCCCAGTTGGGGGCGTGCGAGAGTCAACCAAGTGGCAATTGAGTGACGTATCTCTCATACAACAATGTTTCTCTCCCTCTCTTTTTCCCTCCCTTCTCTTCTCTCTAAAAATAAATAAATAAATAAATAAATAAATCTTTAAAGAGATCATTGAAACACTCACCGCCGGAACCTTTAGAAGTGGGGGAAGAAAAAAGTAGGATGTAAAGAAAAAGTATTGACTAAAAAGGGGGTAAATAAAATAAAAACAAAATCTCTTCCTTATGCCTCTTCTACTTCTGAGAAAACATTCAACATGATGTTAATGAAAAAAATGAGAAAAGGAAAATTTGCATCACTCATTCTGTGTTTGTACAGATCTTCAATTTCATTATGTTAATAAAATTAGATACAGATGCAATTAATAATGAGAGAAGTTAAAATCAACATAAATGTTTGTAGCTTCATTAGGTGCCAATCATCATAGCCCTAAACCCTATGACTGAGTTTACAAATTGATCTTGCATCGTTCTTTCTCTCTAATCTTATGCTTTAAAAACTGGTCAACTTTTTAACACTAGTAATAATCCCAACCAAAGCTCTAATACCACCAGAAATTATTTACTTTGGACTTTTTTTAGCCATTTCATCATTAACGCCAAAGTGAAACAATGTTGAAAATCAAATTATTCAGACATCTGCCTTAATAGGTGTTACAAGTTTACACTTGTAACATAACTTATTGAATTTGAGTATTTAAAAAGTATATTAAGTTAGAATGGCTAGTATATTTTACTTAAAGAATGTATTTGAACATCAATAACATTTCTCCTCTTTTACTATCAATGAACTTGATTATTAAAAAGAAAATACTTCACCATGCTCAACTGTGACATTATGATTTTACAATTTAATGTGGTAATTAGATGTTGTGCTGTGCGGACACACTGGAAGGAACGACCTTCCCGCTTAAAACAGAGTGTGAAGTGTTTTAAAAAGCATTCTGAGAAAAAACAATTTTAGGTGATATCTTAAAAAGTCAAATAATTTATTTTTTTAATTTAAAAGAAAAGCAAGTGAAGTTTATTAGTGGCATTTAATATTTATATATCGAAAGTCAATATTCAATACATGTTGTGGTCTCAACATGTTAATTTGTCTGCTAATCATTTAGGGTCATAGCTAATGTTTGGCTAGAACCATGTAATGTATAGAGAGGATAAAGCAACCAAATTTAGTTATATTGGGGTTGTTGTTTGGAAACAATAGACTAATTCAATGATGGTTAGAAAAGAAACATTGTTTCAATTTATTTGGAAGAAGCTTTGTTCTGGGTAATCATAGTTCCCAATGTTAATGCCAAAAGGTATAAAATTTTCAAACATTAACAAATGATCCTGTATAAAGTATTATACCTTCATTAGGACGTACACTACTGCCTATAATTCAAATCACAAATTGGCATAAAAAGAATCACTGCACTGGCTATTAAAGAATCATGAAAGAGCCACATCATCACTGCTTTGCCTACTGCCATAATAAGGTTGCTATGACACTCAAATTAAAAATATGTGAAGGTACTTAACACGTCATAAATTACTATCAAAGGCATTATTAATAATCTATGGGTAACTATGTTCACCTGACTTATGCTCCAGATCCCAGACTTTATAGTGCTTAATGAAAGTTCACTGTGCACTGAAAATAAGTCTTGTTCCAAGCCTTTTTTATAGTAAGGAAAATGATAATACCTTGGTGATTATCAGACCAAAATGCATGAATAATCCCTAAAAGTTTTCTAAGACACATTATTTTACTTTGTATAATTACATGCCTTATATAAATCGATGCAATAATTTCCTACTGCTTAGTCAAATCAACCAAGCACATTCGACCACGAATTTCATTGCCAAAAAATTTGAGATAGAAAAATTTTAAGCACAGCAATGCCTTTTACCATTTAAACACAAGAGTTTAAGTGATAAGAAATATCTCATATCTCCTTACTAAAAACATTTTAAACCTTCAATTCAGAGTAACAGCAATACGAACTTGAACTAGTGTTCTTTTAAATAAAGATAATTATTTAAATAATAGGTTAGTAGGTCATCTACATTAAGACACACAAGAGCCAAGGTGTTATTATTTTTGATGAGAAACAAGTCTTTTAAAAGAAGTAAAACACAGCCTAAATCTAAACTTTTCCCCAACGAGAAAAGCTTCCTATTTAATGAAGGGGGAAAAAATGTGAGACATTATAGTATTAAGACATCTTTTAACCAAAAAAAATGTATTTTAAAGGGAATTTTAAATAAAGTCTTCAATGCCTCATTAATGGAAAAAATGACTATCACTAACATTAAAGAAAAAACTTAAAATGCTTATGTACAAATAAATCACTGTGTCTACTATACCTTTCAAAAACAAAACAAAACACTCCACTGATCAAGCTCGTGTTTCTACAATCACATTTTTATATTTTCTTTCACACTTAAAATGTGATACACAACCACCACTTATATGAGTTGGGGATGGGGGTACAGCTAGAGAATTTAACCCCCTTCAATGGATACATCTAAATTTAGAAGTTTTTCCTAGTAACTCCATTTTAACAGGCCCTTTTGAGGTAAAACAAAAATGTCAGTATACTTATAAATGACTACGAAGACAGAGAAACACCTCAAAGGACAGTTGAGAAACGAAGCTTAACCGTACTGGCCGTCAGTTATCTATCTGAGAACTTGTGGGAACATTTGAAAGTAAAATTCTGTTTTGCACCACCAAGTTGCCATCAATTCCTTTCTTACAGAGTTTAATCAGCACATAGGATTTGGCCACTTTACGTCAGGAACCCGGTGGGCAAGCCCCACGTCTAATACGATGGGTCCGGTACACTGCTCACCGCATTGCTTTGACTTAGTGTTAGTGTTTCTTATTTTTAACTCTTTATTATCAAGTTAACCCTTCCCAAGTGTGCAAATACAGCAGCACAACTTTTGATCATGTAAAGTATGAAGGGCACTTTTCATTGCCATGTAAGCGTATGCTAAAACAGCCGAAAAGGACGTACACAATGAACGTGTTGTATCTGTGGACACTGCATCCCCTTGGATTCACACGATTTTTACTTAAGATAGCTGTTAATGACTAATATTATTTAATTTTTTAAGTAAAAATTTCAACCACTGGCTAATGGGATACTGAATGACAATATTCAGCAAAAAACTTGAGAGAAGTGTGTACAGAACTATCACTCAGGTTGTCTACCATACCTATTTTAAATGGATAAGAACAGATACCACACTTGGTCTTAGCCAAAAGGCTGAGAAGCGATCTACCATACCTATTTTAAAAGACTACTTATCTGCATGAATAAGCACAAAAATCTCTGGAGAACACATACAAATAAATGAATATTTAAATCTATCAACCTGCCTCAGGTTAAGAGAAAAACAATCTTACCTTGAATAGCCATTAGAAAAGATTGATTGACCAGGGAAGTTCAAAGTCCCCAAGGAAGTCAAGTTGTCATCTCCAGATCCTTGGCACCTATTCCAATTTTCTGAACCAATAGGGATTGGTGGAATGACATTAAAAACAGGTTTCTGATCCTGCTGTTGAGAAAGAGATGCTGTATTCATGTCATAGTGGTACATCTGTCCCCCTGAGGTACTCACGCCGTGAACAGAAATGGCAGACATTTTATTACCAATTATATTTGTCCCAGAAAAGCTTGTTTGACAGTAAACTGGGCCCAGTTTCTCCTGCTTAATTACTCCAGGTGTGCAGAGTTCGATGAAGTCGTCTTTTTCAGTTTTCACTTGGGGCAGTGTCACACTGGTGGGGCTTGATAAGATCAGATCTCCATCATCCTTAATGTTAGGTTTAGTGTCCGGTAAAATGAAAGGCTTACAGTCCTCATTTGAGTTTCCTTCCAAAAGGAATGGATCATCCTCTCCTGTCAAAGGAGAAAGCAAACAGTTTTCATCTATCAAGAGGTCTGATCTCCAAGGGCTCTCATTCATCTCTTTACTTGGGGACCCAGAACAGAACTCTAAATCCTGCAAAATGTCAAAGTTTCTTTGGTCTGCGGTATACAACCTCACATTGCCCCCGTTGGTGCCAGTCTGGCTCTTCGAATTCTGCGGTTCTGAAGACACATCAGAGCTTGTTTTCGGAAACTCCTGCTCTGTGGGGGCAGCAGACATAGTAGCGGATGCTGAACTCTTGGGGTTCTCTGGAACACTGGTCGACTTATTGAGGTTTGCAATGCTTTCTTCCAGAAGCTGTAAGTCTGTTTCCCCAGAGGAAAGGCTGATTTGGCCCTGCTGTGGGAATCCCAGATCATTACCCATCACTTTTGTGTCTGTCTCTCCCATATACAGTCCCATTGAGAGTGAAACTGCCTTGGACAGATCTGGCTGCTGCACATTGCTTCCAGAGCCTTTCGGAAAATCAACCAGAAGTCGTTGCTGCTGGGAGTCTGACTGAGAAGCAGGAGCCAGTGAGGATGAAGATGTAGGAACCTTCACAATAGCTCCTCCCCTCAGGGTTTTATAGAAGTCCATCACATTTCCCCTCTCAAGCACACTGCTGGGGATTTCTTCTCTGCTGGCTGGGCTTAATGATTCCTTCGGGTCCATCAATGAATACCAGCTACCAAAAAAAAAAAAGGGGGGGGGGACATAATAAGCTATAAAGTCACATTATCTCTGTGATCCGATTAGTAAGAGCCTGTTAAATGAACCTTTTAGTTAACTCTGAATTTAATTCCTTGTTATCAGAAGAGCAGTTTCTGTCTTCCAGAATAAAGCCATGTCCCCTGCCCCAATTTAGTGTGCCACATTTAAAAGTACAATTCGGTCCATTTGCATGGCTGAGAACAAAATTGTATCAAACTAAGCTTGACTATTCATCCTGCCACTCACAGAACTGTAACTTCATTAATTATAGACATTATAATTCATTACATCTGATTATTCTAAAGGTTCAAGCTGATGTCAAAGCATTTAATTAAAAAAAAGAATTATGAGCATTAAAATTCCAGCCTCTTTTCAACTGAAGCTGTTTGCTTTTCTGCGATTCAATACAAATAAAATTTGGTAAATACTACACTAGAATTCCCTATTTCTGATTATTCCCAAATTCCCCTCCTACTAGCTAGTCACACATTCAAACCTTTTAGTAAAACCTACTGGTAAACCATGCACATTTTACTTGAAAAATAAATAGTGATGATCTGCTCATGTTCCAATAGGCTAGGAAAAGGCTCCTTTAAAAAAAAACAAACTCACGATTCTCACTGAATGTACCTGTTGAATAGCGTCTGTCTTCAAATTTTGGACATACGTAATGCAGTACATTGTATATAGGCCAACTAAAACTTAGATTTTAAAAAGTAAAATAGCAGTAGCTTTTTGCTATAACTTTAGCTTATTTAAACATAACAAACGCAGTGCCTCTCAATCTGTACAACACAATGAAATATAGATAAAGCTACATTTCTTTAAAACTGCTTATGGCCCTCAGTATGAAATACTGTATGCATCTCTAAATTAAATGTTCCCTTTCTAAATATAGAAATACTGAACAACAGAAAAACCCAGTACTGTAAAATTACATTCATGTAAATTCAGTAAATTTACATTCATATAAATCCCATAAAATGCTCAAAATAATTTCCTCTGCATTCTAAACCTTCACCTATGCCAATTTTGAGCCTATTCTCAAGAGGGTTAGGTTGCTAGTATATTGCTAATAATCAGGATTTTTTTTTTTAAAAATGGGCAAAGACTTTGATAAGCACACTTGCGACATTATGGTGAAATCCCACCCAACGAAAGGGAACTTTTTCCTCTAGGAGTACTTTAGAAGCATAAACTTCACTGGCCCTTACTGAAAACGGAGTGTGAGGAAGGTATAGAGAAGGGTAGGCAATCCTCACTATAAATCTTGAGGGTAAACTGCTTATTTCCCCTCTCTTGTTTAGGCGACAACCATCTCCAAACACAAGATATCAAATGGAACCAAATGAATTTCCACGAGCTTTGACAGCTGCCTTCACACTAGAAACCAAAACAATGCCTCATAAAACCAAGTGATCCGTCTCTCCAACGACTTTATCCCCCAGTTCAGATTGCAAATAACCCAGGCACTCTAATCGGCCTTAATGGACCATGTCGTGGGGTCTTAAGTGGCATTATCAAGCCCGAAACCCAAATGGCAGACGCGCGCTTGTCAAAAATCGCAGCAGAAAACGAGGACGGCTGGGGAGGGTCTTCTCCGAAAAGGGACCACTGCTGAACGGCAGGGGCGAACCGCTGCCCGGCACCGAGAGAACCGACGCGGGGAGCGGGGAGCGGGGACGGGAATAAAAAGTGCGAGGTGGAAGAGAAATGCGTCCAGACCTGTTGAGCTCGCGCCCGGCACGCCCACTCCTACCCGAGAACGCCAGCCCCGAGGTCTCCGAGCGGCAGGCGGGCGGGCTGTCAGCCCACGGAGACTGTGCGCTCGCACTCCCACCGGCGAGCCCGCCAGAAGCGAGAAGCGCCGGAGCCTCGACAGGAGCCTCGACAGGAGCCCGACGCGCTCGCTCTTGAGCTCAGGGCGGAGTGGAAATACTCCGAGGAGCAGAGAGCAGACGCGGTCGGCTCGGCGCTCACCAGAAAAATGGGTGTCTGGGCCGCCCCCTGGGAGGGGAAAGGAAGGGACTTAAAAAAGAAAGGGAGGGGGCGGGCAGTATTCCGCACCAAGGAATGAGAGGCTGGAAGCCCGTGGAAGCTCAGGAGGGTCCACTCACAGAGTCAGAGCTCAGGTTCCTCCCCCTCAGCCCAGCCGGGGGGCGGTGGCCGAGGGGGAGGAAGAGGCCAGCGCTGTCACCCGCGCAGTGTCCTTTCGTCACCGTCAGCGGGCCCTCGCCGGCCCCCGCCCCCACTCCCCGAGGCTAATAAAAGTTTGCGGGCCCCCGCGGCGGCCCCCGAACGGCACCTCCGGGAGCGAGCTCCCGCTCGGGCCCCGGCCCCCAGCCTCTTACCTCTGCCGAGGCGCCGCTCACCGCCGCCGTCCGCAGCTCCCACCGCAGCCGAGATAAACAACTTAGCGCGTGAAAGCAGGAGGGAGAAATTTTTTCTCTAAAAAAAAGGAAGTAAACAGCGGTCCCCTTCTCCATGGCAGGGGGAGCCCCTACCTAAGAAAGTCTCGCATGTCTCCGCTGACACGGCAGCCCCCGCCCGGGCTCCGTCTCCGCCGGCCGGGTCTCCCAGGCGCGCGGACTCCGTCCCGGCGCCGGCGGCTCCAGCTGCGGCGCCTCCTTCCACCCACTAGAATCCGTCCCCGACGGGCGGGCTGCGACTCGGGCTCCCGTCACAGACTCGAGATCGCAAAATGGAGGAGGAGGGAGGGAGGGAGGGAGCGCGGACACGCAAAAGGGCCGCCCGGACGCGGCGAGAGAGCGGGACCGAGCGGGGGGGGGGGGCGGAGGCGGTGCCACGGCGCGCACACACTCGCACACACGCGATCCCACTCCACCCCCGGCCGCTCCCCGCCCGAGGGGCCGCGAGGTGGTGGCGGGGAGCGGTGCAACCTGTTGGCGACGCTCGGCAACTGCACGGGCGGCCGCGGCCCCTGCCCCCCACGGCCTCCTCACGGGCCCCGCCACCCGGGCCCCCACGGCGCCTGCACGCCCGCGGCCGGGGCATGGCCCCCGCCCAGGCAGCCCGTCGCCGCCGCCTTCGGGCGCGCGGGGATCGTCCACGCTCACCCAGCCCCCAAGAAAAAAGACCGGAGGCGGCGGCAGGGGCCGACCTACACTCTCCAGGGCACGTTTAGGAGGGAAGCCGAGTTTCTCTAGTTTCTCTTCTGCCTCCTTCCCGCCCAGCTCCGCAACTCCCGACCCACTGGGGAGCTCTCCCCTTGTGGCTCGCAGCAATTGCCGCCAGCGCCCTTGCGGGTGACAGCGGGCTGGCTAGAGGAGCCAGGGCGCGGCCCGAAGGGAGCTGCGGGGGTGGTCCGCGCCACAGTCCCCGGGCCGAGTTTCGCTTAGTGTGTCACTTAGCACGGGGCTCCGGGGTTGCACGGAAACGGTGCCGCAGCGTCTCGGACGCGCTCGGGGCCGGCTAGCCTGACACGCCCTCTGGAAGGCTTCAGGGAGGGCAGAGCAGAGGAAGGGGTCCCTGCATACGTACTCTGGGCCGGGGGACGGTCGCGTGCCGGCAGGTCCCCCACCCCCGCATGGTCTGAGATGCCCGTCTGCAGCCGCCGCCGCGCTCTCGCACTGGGAGAGAAGTTGCAAAGCAGAACCCACCCTCCCCCGCGCCCCGTTCCGTCCCCCACCCTCTTCCCCGAGTCTGCGAGGCGGCGGCGGCGGCGGCAGAAGGAGGCGTCGCCTGCCAAATTCAACCGCCACCCCCCCTCCCTCCTAGCGCGCTCACACTTGAAGGAAGTTGCACGCCAAATGCAAAACCTCCGGCGAGCTGGATTTCTTTGCACTTTTCCCCCCATTATTTTTAAGGAAAGCAGGGGGTGGCAGGCCTAAAAGCAAGTTGCAAACGAAACAGTAAGTTGCTTGCAAAGTACACCGCCCCCCCCCACCTCCTGACCTATCCTTTCACCCTCCCTGGGCCCGCGTCCGCGCGTCCCGTGGAGGCCCCTCCCCGAATCGTGACTTGTGCTGCACTAGACTCCAAGCGTCGCCCACCCTTTTCACGTTATGGGACCCCAACCCCTCGAAATAGAATAAAACACACGCAGCTTTAAAATGTCAGCATTAAACTCCCTCCAGCTGTTCCCGTTACGCGCCTCCCCTTCGGCCCGAGGGAAACACGTGGCCAATCCCGTGGGAGAGGGGCTGTGGCGAGGGGCGTCTGCGCGGGAGGTACCCGCCCCAACCCCCTGCCTCAGCTCCCCGCATCCGGAGGGCGTGGGGCCGGGACCGGGACCGGGCCTCCTACCTTGTGCAGCATAAACTATGATTTTTGTGACTCGGGGAAGGGTGGTGCTGTGTTGCTTTAGTGTTTCGGGAGGTAACTTTTGCGCCCCCACAGGTGACAGTGCTTGCCAGCTTCTGACGGGGGCGGAGGCTGCCGCAGCTCCACCTAGTCCCTTGCCCGGGCGCCCGGCCGCAGCCGCTCGCTCCTCAGGCCACTTTGATTCCGACGGCGGCCGCCTCGGCTCTGACATCTTCCAGAGGGTTAGGGACGCGTGCCGGAAGCCGGCTGCCGCCATCTTGGTAAAGGTCGCTGACGCCAGCCGGGCCGCGCGGCCACCATCTTGGCAAAGGTTCGCGATCCGGGCGCGGGCCGTCACCCGTCCTCGGTCCTGACGGGGCTCGCTGCGCCGTGTTGTCACATCTAAAAGGAGAGATCTAGGCCTTTAGCAAGCTGCCTTTCCCGAGACGATCTACAAGGGTCTCTTCTAGGCGATTCTAAGCCGCCATCTTGGCAAAGGAAGAGACGCTCGCTGCCTCAGGAAAGAGGGAACCAAAAACTTGTACCAACGTAGAATTTTTAAGAAGGGCGCTGAGTAACTCAGTGGTTAAGAACCCCCCCCCCCCCGACTGAATCCAGAGGAGGTGACTTTTCTTTCTCTTTCACTCGGTGCATGCCAACTAGAGGGAGACCCTTGCCTTGGCTGCTCACAGTGGACAATAAGTGAGAATTGACTGCAGAGCACTACTTTGGCCTATTAGCCCGTTTTTCCACCTTCCAAGTCTCAAGTACTAGAATCAGAACTCCCGTGGATCGGCTTCCAAAATCACCAACAATATCATGGGGGGAAGTCAAGACCCAAACTGACGATAATGTTATGCATGTTTTAAAAGGCAGTTGAAAAACTCGTGCTAATTTAAGTATCCTTCTAAATATTATACTTAAATGTTATACTAGGAATTGTTTAAATACTTCACATATATAAATATAAAATATATAAAGGAACCATAAGTTATCTAACTTATCCCCAAACCACAACCCAATTTCTAGTTGAGTCTCTGCTTTAAGAATATGCTTTATTTATCTTACCTGTTCAGTTCTAGGAGGTAAATACTCTGCTTTTCAAATAATATCCAATTTTATGAAAGTTCCCAATTAACGTTTTCCCCACTCATTTTTTTCCTGTAGGTCCAGAGGACCATCTTTAAATTGAAGAAGACTCATTATTTTAAATTCAAAATTGCCATTGAAAACACTTTCAATTGAGCAAGTGTGAAATTTTCCTGATTCTTCTTTTCAGTGGTCTAAATGTACCTGTTAATTTTTTAATTTGATAGAAAAAAATTCTTATTCTTTAGTCTTTCATTTTCACTTGAAAACATGCTGAAGTGTAAATTAAACCAGTGTGTTTTTCAGAGTTAGAATTGTTACACTCCATGGTTCACATTTATTGAATGCCCCTGTCTCGTCGACTGTTTTTGCTGACAACAGCTTAATAGATAGATACTGTTCATGAAAATTAGAGGAAACTGAGGCCTTCAGAGAATGATGTTATCCAAGGACGTATGTGTACCCTAAGTGTGGAAGGTAGAATTCGACGCCATTGAAGAGGTTTTTCTTCACTGATCTCATCATTCCCATGAAACAGTATGTAAATCCTGTAACAGACTTGCAGTGCCTGTGTATGGAATGTAGTTCAAGAAACGAAATTCACTGTACCAGAAAGAGTGGGAAACTAAACATTGTAATAATAACAGCAATTCTAACCATAGTTAGTAAACTTCCTTACTTCTGTTGGTTCTAACTTACAGCTTCTGTCTTCTGGGCACTATTGAAAGTGTTTTATGCATACCATCATACAGACAATTATGAATCTGTAACCCTGGGGAGTTACAGTTACTTCAAGAGAATAAATAGGGTGAGCCCCATCTGAGAGGGATCATAGTTGTCTCAGAAGTAAAGGTGGGAATAAAGGTGAGACATCCAAACTCCAGCAAGGCAAGGACCTGACCTGTCTTGTTCACTGTTGTATGTCCCACTCTGAGAATAGTGGCCAGGGCATAGTAGGTGCTCAGCAAATACTTTACAGAGGTATAATAAGACAGTCAATAGGACATAATATCACTCTTCCTAGGTGGTTGTGGAGGCCAAATTAGTTAATGAAAAGTATACAAGTATTACTCAAGATCCTCATTTTTATTATCTTGTGTTTAAACACCTAAGTGCTCCCATTCTACAGAAACAAAAAACAAAACAAAACATGAAAAAACCAAAGACCCATTATTATGTGTTTTCATAGTCTCCTGTACTTTGGTAGCACATTACAGTGACAGTTCATTATTTGTGGACTCATTTATTAAATTTCTGTTTTCCTCGTTAGAATATGAGCTCTGTGAAGGCAGGACCTGTGTTTATTTTTCACTACTACAGCATCTGGCAAAAGTGAGGCCTGCTCAAGTGTGGTTGGTGGGGTAATGATATGGGTATAATAATTTAATAGTTTATCAAATTATAGTAGTTTTAATTTGAACATTTCACCTAAAATGTCATGATAGTGTGCTTGAGTGTGCTATTGTTTTGTTACAGAATTACGTGCTTTTGATTTTGTAATAAAAGATTTTGTAATAAAAAATGGTACTATTTGTGCTGGATCCTATATATCACTACTGCATAGTATGTGTGAAGTGAATGTTTGTTGAATGAATAAATAACTTAATGAATGGGTGGATGGAAAGGGTCTGAGACTCTATCATAAGGCCAATAAAACCTTAAATCTAAATAATAACCCAACCACTTTTGCATTTACATAGCAATTGATATATTATGCAAGTGAGTTCTCCCATTCTGTTCACATTTTATTGTTTTCATTCCCATTAAAATAATCCAAGCCTCACTGCCAGATTACTTCCCTAAAACATGAAATCATGTCATGTTCCTACTCAGGTGGAACTACTCATGGTGTACATATGCAATAAGAGATCAAAGTTGCCAACAAGTTGTTGCTGTTAATGTTCTGGGAAATGCTGAAGCTATGCTAAATAGGGGAGAGGGGGGAGCAATTACTGTAGTTAAGATTGGAATTTGACATCCTATCTAAGATGTAAATAGCAGGTTTTAAATTCTGCCTGCGTGACCCTGGACAATTGTTTAACTTCTACAGGCCTGGATAGTTAGAAGCATATGGAATGGTATTTGGGTTTTATGTATAGAAATCCTTCAGTGAATGGTATTTCCATATATGTAATAAAAACGAGGCATTCAAAAAACTAGGGAAATACATCATATGTTAAGTCTACAGGTTATAGAATTATACTTTAATTTTAAAAATTTATGTTAAAAAAAAGTAACTACAATAATTCCTTCTTCTATTGTATACAGCTCCCCAACTTCCATTCTGTATTTATGACTATCTTTTACCTGCTCTCAGCTGATGCTTTTGGACCAGTATTTAATTAAATTAAAAGTCAGTTAAAGCAAGAAAATCAAAGACAATCATACTGGCAAATTTTAAACTTTAAAACCTAAAACCTAGAATTGAACATTTATTTCGTAATCCATGGATGAAGGTCTAAAGCCTCTGGGAGCCCCCTGACTGGAGCCTGATGCCTTTGTTTGTATGTGAACACCGGGCAGCCTTGGAGCCAAGAGCCAGACTGGCTGGGTCGCCTCTGCCTTTGTAAGGGATGTAACATCGGGCAACCTGAGGATCTGTGCC